TATAGTTCATTTACGTACGAAATTTATGCTGTCGGAGCACGGAAGAAAAACCGATGCGCTCCGCTACGTTCTGCCTCTAACTTATAGAAAAATCATGGAAAAATTCTTGGTTTCTCTTTTTGTTTCTCTCCTTATCTCTCTTTTTAGAAACGTTTCAGTATGACAAACGTGGTCCATCATATGTATATTTATATATTAGTGCTAAAATTCGAAGATCCAATAGACTTGTATCCACGATGTGTTAATGTTCAAGTTAATATCTTATAATGTAATTATTAACATTGCGTGCGGTCATATATGTAATTTACAAATAATATATGCAATAGCAATAGTATATTATTAGAAATATTTAAATTTGTGCGCTCTGTCTTTCACAGCGAAATATCGATTTACACTTGGCTAGAAGAGTTTTACGTTTCTTAAAAATAATAAATTAATGTTCGTAATAAATTCGTAATAAATTAGTTGTCGATTAGTTTATTCTGATGATAATAATAATTAGTGTTAAAACAAAAGTTAAAACAAAGCGATAAACAGAATATTTTATTTTTATTATATTATATATAGTTTAATTGAATTTTACTAGATACGATAAAAAATTTTTCATTATTCATAAGATTGTTATTCATATTGATTATTGGTTATTGATTTAGCATAAAAAAATAAAAGAAACTATGTCTACTATATATGTATATTTATATATAAATACTCCTCGTATAAACGTGCTCTTGCAAAACCTAATCATTTAATTTAGATGAGTTCTAAAATCGAGAATACAAGTCTTTGGATCTATTTAACGCGAATTCCTCCAAGTAATAATAATAATTCATTAATCAATAAAATACGATTGCACGAGAGAATCAGGTAATGCGAACAGGTTAAAAAATTATATTTGTATGTCAACATTATGCCCCTTGTTCATTTAACATCTATATCTCCTTGCATAACTGCAATTGTAAGCAACTGTGAATTTTTAAGATGACTCTCGAATGTTATTGATTGTTTCTCTTATATCCTCGTAAATTTTATTGTTACGCTTAACTTTTCGCTTTTTTTGTCTATCCTAACCCGTTGCTTTTCTTATCTTTCTTTCAAACCCATAGATCTTGCGAGTAGTCTAAATTCATAATGAGAGATTAGCTTCGACCTTCCAACGTGACCAATCGATAATATACGATTGGAACATTCCCTGTTTATTTTCTGTCGATTTTTGGTATCGAGGAAAGAGATACAAAGAAAAAATGATAAATAAAATAAAGGGATTGCGATTACGTAGGAAAGTCGAGAGCACGAATTATTGCGTCCATTCCTGCTCTTTTGCTTAGTTCAATTTGATCAAGGGGATTTTTATCCTGCACGAACGATATGACAGCTCTCGAAGGACTTCGCGTTATATCCAGCGTTATATGGCGTGCGCGAACAAAGGAATATTTCCGAAAAATCATTACATTATTGCGGATACGGGACATGCGAAGATCTCGATGGGTAATATTCTCTAACTTTAATAGCTTCCGCTATTCTACCGATCCTTTGGCCGTGTTTGTCACGTTTTTCCTTCGTCAAAGAGGACAAACTCATGAAAAATTGCATATTTTACCAGTACTTTATAATGCTTTATGGATATATATTATCGTAAATTATATTAATTATTAAATTATATTAATTATTAATTTATATTTATACATTTAATAATTATTTTCCATAAATATCGTCAGAAATTTCTAGATATTTTTGGATAATTTTTCTTTTCTTTGTAATATATACAAAAATCTGAATATTGAATATCCATTTGGATATTCAATTTATTTAGATATTTAATATTTTAGATATTTTTATTTTATTAGAGCGCATCGCATCGCGTCGTCTCCAAATTTTTGTAAATTTGAATAGGGGCTAAACGTAACTTTCGCCGTTGTCAAAAGATTTTAATTTACTTTTGACTAAGGATCCGCATTAGCGGAAGAAACTATCTTAAATT